GTGACTTGAACAAAGAGTGAATGTCCCTGATGAGTATCATGCCTGTTTCTCTCCTACAGTTACGGAAATGCACTACTCTCCATTAAAAAGGAAGCCTTATCCCAAGGGCAAGATAACTTAAGCTGGAATGAAATTCAGAATTGTATTGATATGGTTAATATTGAAATTCAAGAAGAAAATGACCGTAAGTATGGAACACTTCCCTTCTCTAGTTACAGCGGGAGAGTAAGGTATCCGGACAACATAGTTCTCTGAATTAGGGCTGTAAATTTGTGCTCATGGAGCCCTGGTTGAACATACTCCCCTAACATGTATGTGTGCATTTATGTTTAAATGTTATTTCTGTACTTCTGTCTCAACATATCATAAATGTTACAAAGCAAACATAAAAAGACATAAAAGGATAGAATAAAAACACATAAATACAGGTCCTAGTATTTTCTTATTTATTGGTACTTGAGAGATGACTGCTCTCAATAACTCAGCTTTTTAAGCACTTAGCTTTATTTTGACCTTTGATTTGAGCATTTTTCTGAAATACAACACAAGTTCCTGCCCTCAGAAGACATGGCAACACACTCTAACTGTGGTTTTATGATCACAAGTCATGGTGATTTGCTGTGTTTCTAGAACTTGTGAGCTCCCAGCATGAAAGTGGATAATCCCAAGAAAAGATGCCCTGAGACGTGCTTTCTTAAATGTCAGCTCACTTCCTTGTTATTTGCCTCTTACTTGTAAACAGACTGAAGAATGAGGAGCTATGTAACTTAGGCAATCAGTATATTTGCTCCTTTTCTGTAATGTAAATTAGCAAATTCAAGCTTCAAGCTGGCTTTTTCATCATGAAAGCAAACCAACCACTGCTATCTTCTTTGGCTTTCTCTGAGCAATTTGACACTGGACTAGGGTTATTAGTGTCCTAATGACCTTCATTCTACTGTCCAGCTTTGACTTAGCTTTCTAACTCACTAGCTCCAAGTTTGCCAGTAGAATAGGCAGATCCTTCCTTAAAAGTTTACAATGGTTTGTTCTAGTTTGTTTTGGTATGGTCTTACAACCTAAGTGTCCATCAACAGATGAATGGATAAAGATGTGGTATATAAGTACAATGGAATACTACTCAGCCATAAAAAGAATGAAATTTTGCATTTGCAGTAGCATGGATGGACTTGGAGGGCATTATGCTAAGTGAAATAAGTCAGACAGAGACAGACAAATACTGTATGGTATCACTTGTATGTGGAATCTAAAAAGTACAACAATCTAGTGAATATAATATGAAAGAAGCAGACTCACAGAGAGAACAAACTTGTGGTTACCACTGGGGAGGAGGGAGGGCTAATATAGGGGTGGAGGAGTGGGAGGTACAACCTACTGGGTGTAAAGTGGCTCAAGGATGTATTGTACAATGTGAGGAATATAGCCAGTATTTTTAATATTGTTGTAACTGGAAAGCAACTTTTAAAAATTGTATTAAAAAAAGATTCATAAATTGCTTAAGCTCTACACTTATTCTTTATAAATGTAAACAAATTTTATGGTGTTTTGCTGTACTTTGTCTTGGTATGGTCTTAACTCTGATCTTCTAATATTGTGTCATATTTTATTATACTAGAATCACTCTTGAGATAAAAGGTATTTGTTGACTTTGTTAGTTAGTTGTATTTGAATAGTTTCCTTCTCTTTCTTGACTATTTATCCTATGAGCACTGTTCCCAAAATCAATGCTGGGTTTGATTTTTTTGTTGAACATCTCATTCTCGGCTGCTAATAGAGAACAGGGTCCAGGTGTGCTGCCTTGACGTGGTGTACCAGAGATGCCACTGTTAGACTGATTCCTGAACGCTTTTTTCACTTTGTCCTTTTCAAGTTGTGTGCAGATCTGAATGTCCTCTTTTGTGACCTCATGACTTTCTGCTGCCTCTCTGCCTTTCCTTTCAGTGAATCATTTTGAAATCCCTGCAGTCAGGTGGCTTCCCCACCAGCCACTTAGCTCTTTCCTGACACATTGGGAGCTGGTGGCTTGCCAGATGTTAGTTAAGAGGGGAGCACTAACTTAAGCAGATGTTCAGCATCATTAGTGACGAGGAGGAAGGGGAAATGGCGGACAGCACTGGTGTGTGTGTCCCATTACAAAACTCAGTCCCCCAGCCTCCTACCCTTCTGCTTTGCTCCTTGACCACCAGCTGCACACTCCCAGTCTCCTGCAGCAGCGGTTTGGGTACCATGCAAGGGTAGGACGCCTCTCTTTGGGTAGAAAAAACACAGGATCACGTTCCATCTTTGTTTTCTAACTTTTTCCCAATTCTTTCTGGCAGTACCCGCAGACCAGGTTTGCTTTGGTGGTTTCTGTATGTCCTGCTTATACAGGTGAAGGTGTGAGTTCTCAGTGCTGAACAAGTGTAGTTTTACTCTCATTCTTGACATTGATTAAAAGAGAGGGGGTGGGGGAGGTGCCATCTTGTCCCAGATTGTCATATAGTGCCTTTGCTTTTACCAGGAAAAGAAAAACAGTAACATAAGTATAACTTAAAAGTGAAGTGGTCTTTTGTAGGTGGATATTTTTAAGCAAAAAATTCTGCATTTGCATGACATTTATCTAGGTGACTGTACTAGTAAGTTATTCTCCATGGGACATACCACACATGGGACATTTCACATTTCTTTTAAGCATCTTGGCATGAAGAGCATGTGTCATCACCAGAGTAATTATTTTAGAGACTAATATATCCTTTCCAGAATTGGGGGGCCTTAATACAAAAGATTTAATTTCTCTGTCTTTTGGATTGTTGTTTTGTGAAAATGGAGTATTTTTGTTTACATTTCTTGAAGTATTGACTTTGATACCATATATTTAGTTAATTGCTTTAAAATATAAATAAAAATGTATAGCATTGCAAGCAGGCATGAATTGTGCAATATAGAAATTAAATCATCTGAAGGAACTGAGAATTTTTCATGGACATCTTGAAAGTACATTACTCTCCCCACCCCATCCCTGCCACACACTCCAAGGTCTATTCCTGTGTCTGAGTTGTGGTGTGGGTGAGGCATGCAGGTAATAGGAAATGGTAGATATGGAGGATGAATTTAATGGAGGAGCTGCTAAATGCATTTCCTCAGACTTGGATGCTTTGTTGATTTCTTAATGGAGAGTTCACTTCTCCCAGTTGAGCCATAGAGGAGTATTATTTTAACCATGTAGCTTAAACAAGGAGGTTTTCTTCCTTCTAATTATTGCTTTCGAAATTTAGTAGGTACCATTCTTTGTTGATTACCTTATCAGCTGTCTCAAAAAGGGAATGTCCACTCTATTCTATTGGACTAGAATATCCTAGTATCACATGGTGATTTAAAGAAGTGGGCCATGGACTGAGGCTCAGCAGTCTTTGCTCACGTGGGATTTTCTCTTTACTTGTCAACAGAGAAAGTGATGCAGATGTGCCCAGAGGGCTTCTGGGAAGGCTTTTCAGCTCCTGTGAGGTCATTTACTATGACATCAGCAGCTTGTGTTCTTAGAAACGCCCCGAAAACTTAAGCAGGTGATTTCAATCAAGTCAGCTGGCATGCACTCATTCCCAGGTGATCGACTGTTAGGAACACATTCTCTTTCTCAGATGTAGTTCGGTAAAGGTCATTTTTGGATGGGATGTTTAAAAGTACTTAGAACGGTCTACCCAAGGGAGTGTCCTGAGAATGACATAAGTGTTCTGTGTTCTCCAGTTTATAAATATTGCAGGGTAAAATGATAATACCTTGTACGTAGATAGTCCTTAGACTTTCCTGATCTTCCAGTATTTTGAGATGACGTAGCTTGCATGTTAGAGAAATATTTTTGCTTTTTCTTCATATGTATTGGAGTGTTATAATTTGGAATAATTTTGAGGCATGTTAGATGGTCCCTTTCTTCCTACAGGTAAATCTTTTCATTCTTAACAATGGTCTTTATGGGGTCATTTATTCAGAAGATACTTAGCTAAATATTTTACCTTAATTTGAATGTCAAGATAAAGATGCTTCTTAAAAATTATTAAAATTTTTATTAAGTATGTATTCTATTTCATGGCATATCACATTTGTAAGTGGCTTATGATGGTTTTTGATGAAAAATAACTGACAAAATGAGATAATGTTTGGCTTTAAGAATGTTTATTTTGTAAGCTTTGTGCTTGTTAATGTTTAGTTTCCTTACTAATTCTTGTCCATCACACTAACCTGGGAAGCAGAAGCCCCCTGTTAGTGTGTGACTATGTGTTTATGTGTACATTTGGGTACATATATTCAAGTATCATGCGCTCATACGTAAATGCGCTATAGCATTTTATGACTGGTTGATAGTTTATTTTTAAGAATAAGGTGGTATTATTCAGCCATAAAAAAAAGACAACATAACGCCATTTGAAGCAATATGGATGTCCCTGGAGAATGTCATTCTAAGTGAAGTAAGCCAGGAAGAGAAAGAAAAACACCATGTGAGATTGCTCGTATGTGGAATCTAAAAAAAAGAACATAAATACAAAACAGAAACAGACACATAGATGTAGAATATAAACTTGTGGTTGCCAACGGGGCAGGGGGTGGGAAGGGATAGACTGGGATTTCAAAATTTGTAGATACTGACAGGCATATGCAGAGTAGATAAACAAGATTATACTGTATAGCACAGAGAAATATATACAAGATCTTGTGGTAGCTCACAGTGGAAAAAAATGTGGCAATGAATATATGTATGTTCATGTATAACTGAAAAATTGTGCTCTACACTGGAATTTGACACAACATTGTAAAATGACTATAACTCAATTAAAAATGGTAGAAGAAGAAGAAGAAGAGGAGGAGGAGGAAGAGGAAGAGGAAGAAGGAAGAAGGAAGAAGAAGAAGAAGAAGGTGGTATTGAGAAGTGGCCTCCACACAGATCCCTTTTGCTAGAGTTTCAAAAATTTCCAATTCCATAGCTTGGCTTCTGTGCTTTTCATTTCTAGATCTTATAGTTTCTGTCCTAAGACCCTGTGGTGTAATAGAGATGGTAGAAAGTTAACTGGTGGCTGTACTTATTCATCGTTTAGTACAGCCATGAATTAGGGCTCCAGATGTTATTTTACCAGCTAGCATTAGAGAAACAATTCATGATGTTAACTAGCCATACTTGAACCTTAAAAATATCCCCAAACGTGTAGGACTTTGTTAATTTCTATGGAACCTGCCTACACTTCCCAGCCACATGTGACCATTTTAACTAAGTAAAATTAAATAAAATGTAAAATTGAGTTCTTCCTTCGTACTAGCCACATGTAAATGCTCATTCGCTACACGTGGCTAATGGCTACCATATTGGACAGCCGAAGTGCAGAGCATTTTCATCATCACAGAACATTCCATTGGATAGCATTGAACTATCTTGTCCTGGAGAGTCACTGTGCTAACACTTAACACTGTAGGGAATTGTTTGATTTTGAACTGTCTCTGTTTTGGCATTCTTTACGGAGTGGTGAAGTAGAATAATCCAAATTATAGACTGTATATCCAATTCTCTTTGCACTTCAGTTTTCTTTTTGTACATCTCTGTAGTACATTTTTCCAGCTCTGATATTCTATGGTCCCATCATCCAATACCTTGGCATTATTGTCTAGTGAAGGTTGCACTAGAAAGGAGCATCTCTGCTGCTACGTGTATGTCAGGTTATCTTCCCTTTTTATAACAGCTTTACTGAGATATAATTCATATACCATAATATTTACCCTTTTATTGTGTTTTCATTTTTTATGTGTTTAAAAAGTTGTACAACCATCACTGCTATCTAAATTCAGAACGTTTTCATCACTCCAGAAAGAAACTTCATACCCATTAGCAGTCACTCTCTTTTCCCCCTCCTCCCATCCCCTAGCAAACATTAATATACTCAGTTTCTATTGATTTTCCTATTCTGGATATTTCATATAAATAGAATCATGTAATACGTGGCCTTTTGTGTCTAGCTTCTTTTATTTAGCATAATGTTTTCAAGGTTCGTCTCTGCTGAATCATGTGTCAGTGTATTTCACATTCATTTCTAGGTCAAGTAACATTCCATTCTGTAGATGGACATTTTGTTTATCCATTCATCAGTTGATGGGTGTTGGGTTGTTTCTGCTTTTTAGCTATTATAAATACTACTTCTGTAAACATTCATGTATAAGCTTTTGTGTGACCATATGGTTCCAGTTCCCTTGAGTATATACCTAGGAATGGAATTGCTGGATCATATGGCAGTTCTGTGTTTAATATTTTAAGGAACCACCTGTTTACCAAGGTGAGTACCATTTTCCATTCCCACCAGCGTTGTATGAAAGTTCCAGTTTTACCACATCTTCACAAGGCTTGTTATTGTTTGTCTTTCTTGCTGTAGCCATCCAGGTGGGTATGAAGTGGTATTCACTGTGATTTGGATTTTTGCATTTTCCTAGTAACTAATGATATTGAGCATCTTTTCATGTGCTTATTAGCAGTTTGTATATCCTTTTTAAAGAAATATCTGATCAAGTCCTTTACTCATTTTAAATTGGTTTTCTTTTTTATTAAGTTGTGTGAGTTCCTTGTATGTCTGGTGTGCTCGTATATCAGGTATACAGTTTTTTATCAGATACAGGACTTGCAGGTGGTTTCTCCCATTTTGTACGTTGTCTTTGCTTTCTTTGATGGTGTCCTTAGAAGCGTAAAAGGTGTAATTTCTTTAAATAGGTGGTGTATAGTATTGTATCAGTTACAGATGTACAATATTTAAAGGTTATACTCCATTTATAGTTACTTTAAAATATTGGCTATCTTCCCTGCGTTGTACATGTAGTTTATTTTATACATAATAGTTTTGTACCTCTGAAAGGTTTAATTTTTACATCGTCTCATGTATTCACTTTTTGTTTTGTTTATATTTTTGGTGTTCATAGCTGAAAAGTATGGCCTTAACACAAGACCACAAAGATTTGCTCTTATTTTCCTCTAAGAGGTTAAACACTTATAATTTAAACTTTTATGTCTAGGTCTGTGATCCATTTTGAGTTAATTTTTGTGTATGATGTGATGTAGGGAATTCGCCTTCATTCTTGTGCATGTGGACATTCAGTTGTCTGTGCCATTTGTTATGAAGATTATTGCTTATACCTCTTGCATTGTCTTGGCACCCTTGGTCAAAAATCAATGTAAATGTAAATGTAAGGGCTTATTTCTGAACTCTAAATTCTATTTTCATTAATCTGTATGTCTGTCTTTATGTCAGTATCAGATGGTATTAACTTTAGCTTTGCAGTAAGTTTTGCAGATGGAAAGAGGCCTCCAACTATATTTTTCTTCCAATGTTGTGTTGGTTATTTCTTGTTCCCTTGCATCTCCACATGACTTTTAGAATCAGCTGGTCAATTCGTGTTTTTGGAAAAAAAAAAGGTCAGCTGGGATTTTGATAGAGGTTACACTGTATGTGCAGATCAGTTTGAGGGGTATTTCCATCTTGACAATATTAAGTCTTTATCCATGAATGTGAGATGATTTTTCCATTTATTTAAGGTTTTTTTTCCAGTGGTGTTTTGTAATTTTGAGTGTATGTCTTGTGTTTGTTTCGCTAAATTTATTCCCAAGTGTTCATTCTTTTTGTAATTGTATTTGTCATTGGAATATGTTATAAATGAAATTCTCCCTTAATTTCATTTTCAGATTGCACATTGCAAGTGTGTAGAGTCACAGCTGAGTTCTGTTCGTTGACCTGCTGTGTACACCTTAGCCGTTTTTGTTGGTTCTCACAGTTTGTGTGTGTGGTTCCCCGCCCCCTTCTAACTCAATCTTTGCTGTAGGTGATTCTAGAAAACTTACAATGTGCTGCAACTTGAAAGGAAATTTTTTCTTCATTTTCTAGGAATTGTAGCTGTAGGGTACATCAATGAAACCATTGATGAAGGAAATCCTTTGAAAACCTTAGACAGTCTGCTGTTACCCACTGCCAAGATTAAAGATGTGGACCCAGACTCTGCCCAGCACTACCAGGATGTTTTGTACCATGCTAAAACTCAGAAGGTCATGGTAAGTCTTAGTAGGTGTGTTTCTTCTAAATTTACAGACCCGGTCAGGGAGAGGGGTAAGAGAAGGTTTTTTACCCCATTTTTCCTAAAGCTCATGAGCTGCTTATCTGTGTCTGTCTGGATAATTTACTTAGACTTCATTTCGTTATCATTATCTGTTAGATGACAATAATGATACTTAATTGGTAGAGCAGATACAAATTATTATGTGGACTGTATGAGATAATATACATGTACATAAAGTACCTAATATCGTGTCTGCAAATAGCAGACATGCTATTTGGATCAGATTGGAAGTTAATAGGGCTGGTACTTTCCTGGTGTCAAATGTGAAGAGCAAACCAGCTTCAGAGCTGACAACTGCTTCCACTCTTTGACTAAAAACTCAGCTGTGGGTGAGCTCTTGTCGCAGTGCAAGTCACTGGATATTTACCGAGCACATACTGCAGTCAGAGTGTGGTATGTAGCATACAGTAGGGGAAAGGGAGATACAGGGAACATGTGATACCATTTGAATGTTCTATCTTTATCCTCAAGATGCTTAGAAGTTACTGAGGCTCTATGAGGCATTCTCATAGAGAACAGTTAAATAGCAATAGAAGTGAATATGTGGCAGTGTCATAACAAGAAATGCTCAAAGTGTCAGAGATGGTTAGAATTTCTGGGAATTGGAATCCTAAGAGGTGTGGAGAAAGAACAGGAGCTGTTCCTGAAAGACAAGAGAGAGTCGGTTAGGTGTGAGTGGGAGGCAGGATGATGCAGGCAGCTAATGGCAGAGCGAGGTGGGTACCAGCTTGGTTTGTTCTAGGCATGGGAGGAAGCTGACCTGGCCAGGTCCCATGGAAGAGCAGAGGGTTTTATGTGGCTGCACAGTTTGTACTGTCGTTATGAGACATGCTACAGATAGTAGCCACTTTGCAAGACTACTGGGCTGAGTGGAGAGGCTTTTCTGACCTGTCACTGATGCCACGTGGGACCTAGCCACTTGTAGCTGCCGTGTTCCCGGGTGCAAACCCAATCAGAAAGAAGTGGGTGTCTCGTTTGTATAGGTCTTTAGAACCCAGGAACTGCCTCATCTGGAACAGGAAGAACATCTTTGGTTAGAGCAATCATTTACTGAGCACCTGCTATTTGCAAACATGATATTAGGTACTTTATATATATATATATATATATATATATATATATTATCTCATACAGTCCACATAATAATTTGTAACAGCTCTATAAATTAAGTATCATTATCATTATCTTACAGATAATGAAACGAAGTAAATTATCCAAAGCTATCCATGAAGTAATTAGTTCTGGACTATGCCCTGGTCTGATTCAGAGACCTGTATTGTGGAGCATTAAGGCAGCTGGAAAAGCACATTTATTGCCGCATTATTTATAATAGTGAAAAACCAAAAAGAGCCTGAGTGTCCATCAAGAGGGGACTGGTTACATAAATTGCAGTACATCCATACAGTGAAATACTGTGTGGCCATCAGAAAGAATAAGTGGATATTGCTAAATATAAAAAGCAGGCTTCCACATGCAAAGAAATGGGTCCATGTATGTATGCTTTTTGTGCATAAAATATTTCTGGAAGATGAACTAGAAGGCTGGTGTCGATGGGACTTCCTTTTCACTCTGTTTTCGTACTGCTTGGATTTTTCATTTTTTATGGAGTGCATATATTACTCAGTGTTCTTAGATTTTCAAAAAACAATGTAAACAACTCACAAATGGCCAGTTCCCCCAGTAACTTCTCTAGTTTCTGAAACAAGACCTACCGCCCTAATACAGGTGTTCCCTTCACAGCAACTAACTTCACCTCGCATCATTAGAAATATTTTGACACCATCCAGCCTCTAGGAATACAGAGAAGTGGTTGCCTCTGGAGAGGAGAATTGAGTGGCTAGGGAAGAAGAGGATGTATTTTTGAATCTTTTTCATTTTGAACCATTGCCTGTGATGTATTACCTAAGGAAAAAGAAAATTCTCCCCAATAAAAATTCGGGGTGGAGGGCATAGCTCAGTGGTAGAGCATGCGCTTAGCATGCGTGAGATCCTGGGTTCAGTCCCCAGTACCTCCATTAAAACAAACGAACAGACCTAATTCTCCCCCACAAAAAATTTTAAAAATGAACAACCTAATTACCTACAACCAATTAATTAATTAATTAAAATTCAGTAACAGTGGAAAAACAACAATATAAATCCTATTCATTCCACATTACTAAATGGCCTCATCAGAGCTGAAGGAAATACCCCCCCCCCATGGTGGGACCGTCTGTGCTCCTTGCCCTCCGCCAGGGGTGGCAGCAGCATTATCTCTGTGCTTCATGGATGCCCTCACCTAAGTCATGCTCATTTGAGCCTCGCAGCCACTGTGGGGGTGGGTGCCGTCTCAGCTGGTGTGAAGGGACCTGAGGCTCAGGTTCGGTGCCAGGCCAGTGAGTGGGAGGGAGGGTGAGGCTCCGGCCAGGCGTCATGTCCCCGCACCCCAGGGGGAGGAGAGAGGACCCTGTCAGCTAGGACGCCTGAGCTGCCGCCTCTGTTCCCACTGCTGTGGCTGAGGCCGTAGCACATGGCACAGCACTGGAAGCTGAAGTTACTAGCTTGGGAGATAGACAGGCATCATTCTAGTCTTGGCTTTGGCACAAATTAGCTAGAGATTTTTGTCAAGTCACCAAAATTCTCTGTGCTTTGATTTTCACTTGTGCAAACTGAGACTAATAGTGCCTGCCTTCTAGGATTACAGTAGGCTTAAATGGTTCTGTAGTAATTTTTACAATATTTTATCAATTAACATATAATTGTACAGTTAATTATGAAGATGTATGTGTGTGTGTAAGTGAAATGCATTTAGAATGAAGCAGCTCACCCAAAATAAGTGCTTAATTAATGTAGCTGGTGTTATTGTTGGGCACTGCTGGCTGCCACGTAGGCACACGGTCTGTTCTGTCCACAAGCTGGGATCTGCTGGGTACCAGACA